CCCCCCGCCCCCGAGATGGGTGGTGTTTGCTTATCTAGCTATTGCTGTATGGTAGCATTCATTTATCAGGAAAAGTATTCTACTTGATTTTTCTATAAACCAGCAGCGGATTCTCTAAACAGCTCCCTGCAAACTTCTTCATAACATTGTTCTACTAAAAGTATGATCTTTCAAGTCTTGTTTTTCCTCTGCTTACCTAGGCGAGACTTCATTCTGTACCGGTACCCTGGAAAAACACCCACTTATGCTACAGACAATGGATTTGAAGACAAGGTGAGGAGAAGTGAGGCAATTTCCTACCTCTACCCCTGAATCCTAGTTACCTCCAGTCCTGCTTAGTTGTAAAAACTTGCCACTGGAATTGAGCTCTTCTAACTCCGGTGCTCTTGTGTACCTGAACAAAACCCTAAAGCTGACTTCAGGTCATGGAAAAAGCATAGTATTTGCACAATGGTTAACTCAGTTACAGTAGCTTTGCTTCCCATCGGAGGGATGGATTGTGTGCTGTTCCCCTGCCAATCTTTTTTGTTACTCCAGCTCGTTATTGGAAAGAAGTTTAATTTTGGCAGGAAGAGGTAACATCACAATTCCAGAATGTTCTTTCATGTTTCTGAAATCTCTTTGGCTAACAACACTTCCCAGTGGGAATTTGACTGATCTGGCAGGGTAGAATGAAATATCTGGGTTGAGTTGAAGAGCAGAACAAGATATGTTTATCATACTGGTGGAGAGGAGGTGTTGTCCCCCAACCCCCAGGGCTTCTCTTCCTGAAGTTGGATGAGATGTGCAGTTTTTCCTCCTGAAAAGGGAAAGTTAATGTGAACAGTTTAATCTAACAAACTGATTCATTTCTATGACATACAAATAGAGCCCAGTTATGGGAACTAATCAAACAGCTTATCTACACAAGAATTACTGCTGAGGGCAAAAAGAAGCAACATAAAGGAGAAATACTCTGTATTACATCTGACCCCTCTTGGTTTTTGTGCATTCATGTAGATGTGCCTGCACAATTACGTGGCTAGCTCAGGCATAATGCCAGTGAAGTTGCTGCGGTATGGATTTCAGTATGGGCTATGGTATTTGCCAAAGTGGCTAGTTAGCTCTGAAATCTGTGTTGCTGCAGCTGTTCTTCTCTGTTTGTTAGTATTACTGTCTTTGTTTACATGCTCTTCTTTCTTTTTTATGTAGTTAGTTTCCTGTGTAGCTTAATCTAATTCCAAAATGAGCTATAACTTTAAAAATCAAGTAGTATGGTCTAAATGTGTGTTTGTCCTCAAAGGCTTTACCACCAGAGGTCTCATTAAGTGTTGGCAGCTGTCTGTCATTAGACTGCATGTACAGGCAGCAGTTCTTTCTGGTGTTGCTCATTCTCACCATGAGATGAGAGCTTGTGTTGGCAGAAGACATAGTGCACACTGAATTAAGAGCCCTGGCATCCCAGCTCCTGCTGGTTCACTGGGAAGCATCCTTGCTGGCAATGTGCTGACAGCTGCCTAAGGGCTTCTGCCAGCTGCAGTTGGCTGTGGTCACATGCCAAGATGGGGTTTGATGCTATATGTTTATTACTTGGTGTATCAATGCATATGTTGCAGAAAGCATGCATCTTTTCAAAAGGCAGCATAATATTGCTTATTAAAAGCAAGGCTTTGTTGAGCGTAAAAGTAGTAGATGCTATTCTAGTCCCTCAGGTAGGGAAGGGTGAAATGTGCCTTTGATACTTGGACAGAGTATCTCAGGGGTACGGCATTTGATGGCCTGTATTTATTTTGCCTCTTGAGCAATTGGTGGTTTTGGAGGCAAGCTGGAAACAAACTCTTTATTTCATGTTTAATACAGCATGATGTAAAAATTGATACTTTTTCTTTGTATAATAGACAAACTTATTTAGAGACTTTAACTAGGGTTCAGTTTTAAGCTGATTCTACAGCTTTTTCATACTTATATCAAGAATATTTACTGTTTTCTTGATAAGTTGGTGTCGACTGTGGAATGAAAGAATAATGTAGTCTTGAGCTAGGATATCAAATAGAAAGAGTGAGGTTTTACATAATTCCAGCCTTAAAGCTTTTTTTTTCTTTCCCCCCCAGATTTTACTGTGTTGTTCCGGCAATGACCATTATGACTCTGTGTATACAAAACAATTCCAGGAAAATGCTGCTATTTGCCAGGGTAAACTTGAAATCATTTTTCTATGGAAGAGAATTACATGTTTTCATATGTTTATAGGCAGTGTTTGTTATGGTTTCAGAGGTGGGGAGGAGAAAGATGGAAGCTCATTTATTGTATATTAATATATACATATGCTCATTATTCCATCTGTTAAGTGGGGTATTGGACCAAATGACTTCCAGAGGTCCCTTCTTCCCACCTGAATTATTTTATGATCCTCTTCTTAATTGAATTTAATATAACTAGTGCCTTGTAACAGTAGATAATACTGAAGATCTGCTTACCTTGAAAATTGCAGCAGTTCTTATGGGTCTGGTATTATCTTAATTTGGTTCAAGCTTTGTGTTGATTTGTTCAGCTGTATTGTACGAGATCCTGTACAAAGATGTGTTTGGCATGGATGAGGAAGAATTACGGTCTGCAGTTGAGGTGTTTCGAAGTGGATCCAAGAAGAACAGAAACAGTGGCTCTGTAGGAAGTGAGGATGCAAACTTTGATTGTCTTCATGAAAAAGTATCCAGAAATCCATCAGAAAAGAGGTAGTTTTTTGGGAAGGGAATGTGGTAAAAGGGAAGCAAAAAGATTTAAAACCTTGTGAAGGGCAACTTTTCCAAGTTTCTTTGAATGTTCATGGGGTATTAACTCTTTTTCCTATCTCATGACACAAACACAAAGCTGAAGTATATTGTAGAAGAGAGTGTGCTTTCCTTGAAGATGGGAAGTGTCATCATATAGTTCAACATCCTCTGCTGCTGGCTATGTTATAGTTGCCTGTTACTCTGTAAAATGACAGCTTATTTGTAAATAAAAATGTTCCTTACATCATCAGAATATTTTTTTTTAGTGAGAAACTGTTATTGCTTTTCTAAGCCTCTATATCTCTGCAGAGGCAATAGTGGACTGAGAAAATGAGCTCTGCTTTGTTTGTCCTTTTTTAATGAAATCATATCCCAGATAGATAATTAAATAGTGGCATTATTCAAGTCTGTTGGATCACTGGGGATGAGGGGAACAGACAGAATGTACCTATAGAAAGTCTCATATCCTGTGTTGTTCAGATTACTAGAAAGGCTTGAGGGATGCCTCTGACCATTACTGAATGCTTGCAGATGACATTGGTTTGATAGGACTTAGAACAGGGTGTCTTGTACTTGACAGTGCAAGAGTTTAATCAGCCAGTGGGATCATCTTCATTTCCTAATGCAAGCAGTAGCCCTTGTTAGGGGTGGGTGTTGGAACAAGTAAAGGTCATGTTCTTGAAACTAGGAAGAGGGTTGTCGTGTTTAAGGCAAAACCTACCACTTGATGGCACCGTGGTGCTTTTTCAGATTGTATGAGCAGTTGCTTAATTTTAATCCTGGCTAGAAATTATGTATTGCATCTTCTGTAATCTTATTTTCAATTACTTAGAGTGGACGACTGGGAAGGCAATGGTACTGATAATCCACAGGAAGATAAGTTCAAACAAGGCATTGAAGAAGAAAAGGTTTGTCAGTTAGGGAAGAATTCCTTATGGTGGTGGTTTGGGGTTTTTTTGTTTTGTTTTGTTGTTGTTGTATGATGTTACCCTTGTTGGGGCTAAACCCTCTTTTCCACTTTTTAAAAATGACTTTTTGGAAAGTGGGTGGCTTATTTCTTCCATCTGCTTGTCTTTTGGTTTTGCCCTTGAGTTTCTATTAATTGCATAAACCTTTTTTCCTTTCGGAGATTCTCTTGTTTGTCTCTAGCTAATATTCCCCCCCTCCAAAGATGGAGTTTAGCAGATGTTTCCTGGTCTGCTGTTTGTTTTTCCCAGAAATGGTTTAAATCGGTTCACTTTTGTTTTGAACACAGTATAAATCACTTTGGAACAGTTTTAGAAACTCTATAGAAACCTGTTTTCAGATATAATAACTTAAATTCCCGCCAACTTTTGAAGCCATGGCTTCATTGGTCTAGTTAGCTTCCTTTGATTCTTTTTGAGTAAAGAACATGCCAAATGTTACTCTTGAGCCTGTTTCTAACCTTTCCAAAGTCTGTTTACTCAGCTTCTGAATGCCTAAATGTGTCTTCATGTTCTTGAGCTTTAGTTTTTAGGCAAATATAGTGGAAGTGAAAATTTTGGAAAACAGTGTGTGTACATCTTAAAATCATTCACAGGTGCTGGCAGGATAGAGACTATGCTGAACACATTAAATGCACTTGTTAATGTTCCGTTTCAACTCTGGTTTTAGCTGCCAGAAAATCCAACAAAGATGCCTGTTCCTTATAAAGTACTAAAGGCGCTGGACCCTGAGATCTATCGGAATGTGGAGTTTGACGTTTGGCTGGACAGCAGAAAAGGTATCTTCAAAAAGGGAAGAAAACCACAACTTCTGTACAGGCTCAGTGTTACATTTACAAATCTGAGGCCTATGTCACTTGTTTCTTCACAGCTGAAATGTGAAGGATACTGGTTAACCCAGCAGATACTTGTAGGTATTACACCTTCTTGCTAGTAGCTGGTTTCTTGGCTTCATTTCAGTACAAAATAAACTGCTTCTGACACTGTATAATGGTGATAAGATTGCTAAAAATCTGACCTCTGCTACTTACTGATTATAGTATAGGAAATAGGAGGAGTCGGATCAGAGTACAGAACTCTGCTACCATTCTGTTGTATTGGAAATCATACTGAAATTCGAGAGTTTTTTGTTGCAGCATGTGTGCAAGGACTTTTGCTTTTTAAAGCACGATTTTGGCTTCAGAATTGTATAATAATGAAGATCTCAAATTTAGCACTGAGATCTGTCAAATGAGATGAGTTTTCTCTTGCTTCCCAGCTCTTCTGGGCTTGAACATTTTGGAGAGATTTCATGGTCTTCATGGCTTGGGATAGGTTGCTGCTTTTTGGCATACACTATGGCTGATCTGTAAAGCAAGAAGTTACCAAGAAAGATAAGTTTTGAAGGGGTGTTTGATGTCTGACCTGAAGTGCTTTGCATACTGAAGGACTGCATAAGTAGTAATGAGGGGTCATTAAAATTCTTGGAACAGAGTATAGTAACTAATTATCTATGTAGAGTACTGATGTGCAGAGAATCCAGCCAAGGAATGGAGAAAAACATACTGAAATCTTGCAGCAAGGAGACTTTAGGCAATGTTAGTTTTTCCTGGATGACATCTCATTTTTGCTAAGTTCTACCAGTACTCTGGCAAGACAAGACATGTCCAATACTTTCAATACCAGAATTGGCATTAAATACAGGATTAACTCAGTACCATCAAAAAACACATTGTAGTATTGAAGTAGTAGTGCTATTTACTGCACTATCTGCATATTATTCATCTCCTGTGGCTTAGGCTAGTTATGGTCTGTTATAAGAACATCTACAGTTACTTCACCATTACTGTGGGGACAGTTCAGATACGCGTAGGAAATATCTTAACTCATTTGGCCTGTAATACGTAGTTGGATGCTGTCATGAAGTAGTTATAGGATACGTGAAAAAAGAACAGTGGTTTAAAGGCTTTTTCATTTTTATTTATTTATTTTTTTAGAGCTTCAAAAAACTGACTACATGGTGTTTGCTGGGAGACAGTACTATTTAGGAGACAAGTGTCAGGTTAGTACTCAAAGGAGATTCAGTTATGATAAACTATTACAGCTGCATTAAATGGAGTATGGTAAGCCATAAAATCATGTGACTTCATAGAATTTTCCAAGGCTTTTCTCGTTCTTTTCCTTGTGGCTATTAATCTGACTTTCTTTTTTAGTTTAATTTCTTTTTAAAAATCTTCCTTTAAACGTTGGGTAGTATGAAGGAAAAGCTGCTTGGAAATTCATTGCAAAGCAGTGATATATGTTCTGTGAGTGTGGAAGTTCTAGACTGAGAGCTCAAAATGCACAGGGTGTGCATTTGAGGTAGTTGTCTATTAGATTTTCACTGGGGGTCAGCAACAAGTCTGGACAGTCTTCTGCTTCTCAACAGTAATGTAGCAAATATATTCATAAAACAGAAAAGGAAGAGCTGAAAAGGGAGGAGAAGCATGATCTGGCCAGGAGATGCTGAAAGGAAGGTCAGCTTTCTTTGTATTCCAATGTCGTAGGTAGTGACGGCTTATTTTTTATCACTGTTTGAGGTAGTGCTGATGATTCGCCCAGTGACTTGTTTCTAGCTGAGCAGAGCTTTCCATTCCAATTTCTTGTTTTATCCTCCATCCTCCTTAAGTTCTTAAATAATGGTCTTCCTTGGTACTTACCTGCTTGGAACAGTGTATAAAAATAAGTTAGAAAGCAGGTACCTTCTTACCTCTCAGTCACTCACAAGACATTATTATTATTATTATTATTATTATTATTTTCCTTCCTCCTCGAAATTAGTACAGTGCTCTTTATTTTTAAGAAGTATTTGAGACTCTCGGTTAACTCAGTAACAGGATCAGCTAGGAGCGGCCTTTGCTAGTAGTGCTTTGTAGACAGTATTCTGAATCCCCTGATACAGTTTGGGTTTTTTAGATTTTCCCTTGTTCTCTCTCCAGGTACGTCTGGAGCCTGGAGGTAAGTATTACAACGCTCATATCCAGGAAGTTGGACAGGATGGCAACACGTTGACCGTATTTGTTGAGGAGCTGGCAGAAAAGTAAGCAGTCTGGTGACAACTTGATGTTTGAACTCTTTCTGGTTGAGTCTGTATATTCACAGAGGCTTAAAATAGGATTGTTGAGATACTTTGAAAAGAAAAGAGAACCTAGGCTTTTAAATATAAAGAGAGGCTTTGCTTCCTTGATGGCTGTCACCCTTCAAATAGAATGTTGCAGGAAGTTTTTTCTCTTTGATTTCTAATGACCAAAATCATTATTGTAATGCTTTCTCTGAAATCTTTCTGCTCTTTCTTTTCTGGAACGTGAAAGTGGTCTTTGCAGTTTGCGCTTAATACATGGATAGCAAATTACGCTCTGCTGTTGGTTTCTCTGGAGTTTTTATGTTGTACCCAAACAACTAAATAATTGGCACTTCTGGTGAGTCTAATGACTTTCTCCACCTTGCTGTTCAAAGCATACACCCTTCTCTAAACCTAGAATTCAGCTTGATGACATATTGTAAAAATGCTGTGTTGTCAAATGCTTTCAGGTATACCTCTGAAGACAAACAAATGCAGGGAAGAAAGACTTCACCCAGGAAGTCAATAGTGTTGCGACTAAATCCTAGCTTGCTTTTTTAATAAACAAGTAGCAGTAATGTGTGCTTGGTGTCAGAGAAACAGATTTTTTTAATTTCCACAAGGTCCTTACACTCTTTAAGTTTGGCTTTTTTTCTACTTTTCGTCTGTCTTGGTGTTGCTTCAGCTTATGTTGTTGTGCAGTTATGCACAGTGTATCTTTGTGGCACTGCTAACATCAGTGTTCTCTGTGTAGGCATACAGTTCCTTTGGCAAACTTAAAACCAGTGACACAAGTGGCACCTGTCCTTGCTTGGAATATGGTTCCCAGCCGAAAAGGAGGAACCTATCAGAAAATAACAGGGGGATACTTCTCAGGAATAGGTTTGTACAAGGTTTCCACAAGCATTCCTTCCCGTGGGGCCACGGGACAACAGGGGAGACACTCATGACAGTTTTAACAGTAGCAGTCTTTGGATATTGGAAGTGACTTAATTCAGCCTGTGGTAAAAAAACCTGGTCACTGCAGGGGTTTAATGTAAAGTGATCCTTCAGACATAGGGATGAATTTGCCTTTGCAAAAGAGCAAATCCATTGAAAATACATAGCAAAGTTAGTATTGCTCAAAATTACCAAGAAGACATTGGGCATTTGAGAACCATGTATAAAGATTGGGTCTGTGAACCAAAAAGTTTGTCTGATTTGGCCTTAGCAGAGATGCATGGATGAACTAGGACTTGCCCAGGCAATTAAATATGGATTGTATTTGTTTAATTTGGAGAAGTTTTTTTAATAAATAAATGCAGCCTTCATAAAGAGATTTTAACACTGAGAGTGCTGGTTTGATTAGCTGAAGTTGGGAAGGTATTCACATGTGAGATGTTTGTATTCTGCTCATAATTTAGAATGCCTGCTTGAGCTTTCAAAATAAGGGTATGAAGTTTGTGTACTTAAAATGCACTTTTTCTGGGCTAGGCCATTGGCTCTTTCTCTTCCGTCCAAATACTGATTCTTCTCAAATGATAACGAGAACATAGTTCTGGAGTCAGCCATTGAAGGTGTAAATCGTATCTTTTCTGTCCTCAATTGAAACTGCAGAAATGGATATGAAAACACGGAAGAGAATCCTTAAGAAAGTTCGTGGAAAGGAAGTCTTTATGACTGTGGCTTATAGCAGGGGTCAGCCAGTTCTTCCACCCCGGCTACAGCACAGTGGTCCTTCGGGGCGCTCTCCTCCAGTTCACTGCTCACAGGGTGGTGGAAACATGGCACCTTATGAACCCTATCATCCTCAGAATCCTCCTCAGAGACATAACCGTGGATTTGGGATGCCAAGGTATGAAGCCTTGAAAAACCTGTATGACATCACCGCTTGTTTTCTGTTCATTCTTGCTGCAGACTAGTTAGGAGAGAGTTTGTGCTATTTAATAGGTAAAACTACAAATGAGTTCCACCTGAGAGGCACTTCCTGGTAATTGCACCTTTTACCCTTTAAACTTAGGGGATCTGCCCGATTTATAAACAGGCACAACATGGTTGGCCCTCAAATAGCATTCTGCCCCAGTCCAGGAAAGAGATGCTATCAGAGCTATGACAGTTTCTCCTGCAGGTCCTGGTAAGTGAATATAAACCTCTTTACAAAACATTGCTCTAAAAGAGTTGGGGTGGGTGGTGGTGTGTGGAGGGCTGAGTTGGCTGTTAATGGCACAATATGAAACTGGGTTTATTGTGTCTCTCCAAAAAGAACAGAGTTAAAACTGAGCAATGAAACCAAGGTGAAGCTCCAGATAGTGGTGATTCTTAACCTCTTTTCTTGTTTTTAAAGCTCATACAGCCGTAGCCGCCGTCAGATGCAGTGTGTGAATAAGGAATGTCAGTATGGGTTTGTACCAGGGAATGGAGAGGAGCCTCAAGGATCAGAAGAAACTATAACTTTCTATGAAATTGAAGGAGAGCATGACACTGCTTTTCCTACTTTACCAGTAAGTTATGAACAATGAATATGTTAAAACCTCTTAAGGAGGGGGGGAAGCTGTACAAATGTGCAGCATTACTTTACCTAAATATACAGCAGCTTTTTTTTCTTTTTTTTTTTTTTTTGCTTGGAATAAGCTTTAGCAGTGAATGTGTTTTTGAGAAGGGAAGGCTGAAATCAGTCTAGATCCTGTAAAACCTGCTTAAAACCTAAAGTTTTCTAAATGTTCCCTTTCTTTCCTCCCTTCACCGACAGCACTTGTTTTCTCTTTAGTATATTTTCATAAAAGTAGGGTCATGTTTCTCCTTTCTATAGCTGTTTGAAAACAAAACAAAAAATCCCTTCCTACTGTGGATGTCTGTCTAGCTCTAAATATTGTGGGAGAAAGTTTTTCACTTGTTTGCCACACTGTAATTTATCATTCATGTAACTAGATTCAGAAACTGCATAGTGATAGCCTGGATTGTTCCTATGAATTTATAGTTGTGATGTTTTGGGCTAGCTTGTTGTTCCTGAAACAATTTCTTCTGCTACAGAAACAGGAGTAAATTCCAAATCCAGACTTCTTTAAACAGTGTTTCTGTCAGGTTGTAGATGAAGTGGCACAGTGTATTCTTAAACTTTAAAATAAACCTTTTATTTATTTGTAGTTCAAGTCTAGTACAAAGCTGGATATGCGACAAAAAAATCAATTAATATTTAGGTATCTGAATAGGAAAGCTGATCTTTTTTTTAAAAAAAAACGGGTAGATTTGAATTTCTTTTTACTGTGTTGAAGTAGTGAACTTAACAAGTGTTAGGCTTGTATTTAAATGAGAGCGAGGGAACCTGCTCAGGGCTGTTTCAGCAGCAGCCATTTTTAAATTCATCCTCATGTGCTAGATCTGTAATCTTTGCTCCAGTTTTCCTCCAAGAGTGTCAAGGAATAAGGACAGATTATCCTACAATTTTTGTTTTTCTGACATGAAATCAATATAGCTTACTAGCTTTTCCTCCCTGTTGCTAGACTATATACCTGCAGCTCCTAATGAATAGTTTTTCATGTTCTTTCAGTGACTTTGTTATTGTCAATGCCAAAGCCTTTTCTCTGTCTCTTCCTTGTCTTGTTTAGTAAAGGAATATAACATTTCGTGGGGAAAGATGCATCTCGCAGAAAACTCTGCCATCCTACTAGAGGCCTGGTGGGAGAATCTTCTGACTTACCACCTCTGCTTCAACCTTGGAAATCTTACAAGCCTCTCTGAGCACTTTATCGATCTCATAGTCACCATGTCTTCTGAGGAGAATTTTGAGTGTCACCTTAGCCATCACAAAAGAGTGAATCAACTTCTTTTACTTGAGCATCTCAATCCTATATTCCTGCTTCAGAGAACTCTGTATTTTAAATTGTGGTGCAGCTAAGGACTGACTTCAAAGCAAAGACAAAGGGCATGTGAAGTGTTAAAGGAGTCCTGTGGGAAACCTTGATGGCTGCTGCTCTCTGAAAGAGTCAGGCTTGCATGTGTGGGTCAGGTTAGTGCAGACAGTGGTGTCTATGCCAGCAGCCACCCATGGGTTTCACTAGTTGTGACCTAAAGATAATCCTTTTCCATGATAATTAGAGTATTTGGATGAACTGATCTTGATCTGTTGGTGTGGTGGGAATGCTCCAGGATGAGGAATGCAGGAGTATATGTTGGGGGTAGCAGTCTTGGCTGTTGTCTGGGTTCTGCTCCCTCCTTTTCAGCTGGCTTTGAGCTGGAGATAAAGCTGGCTAAGTTCTGGGAGGAGCAACTTGACTGTATGGCATAGGACAGTGGTAGGTCTTCAAAAATGAATTACCTTAACTATGCTAGGCGGAACAAAAGGTAAAGGAAAGAAATGTGTCAGCAACTGTTGTGCTGCGATCAAGGTGCATAGGAACAGACACACAAATGGTAATTGTAGTAAGTTTTGGTTGCAGCAAGCTTGGTCTGCTAGCCTACTTCTACTCTGTGTGTGTGTGTAGAGCATGGAAAGGCTTTAAACTATTTCTAATTGCACACTTCTGACTTTGCTTTTTAGAGCCAGAGTAGCCCTGTTCCCATTGTCCATGGTCCAGCAGGATTTTGGGTAGCAAGGAGAGGCCCAAACTCTGTTCCGCCTAACAAGCAGAGCCTGAATTCCTCTGAGGAGGAAGAAGAAACAAGTGAAAATGGTGAGTTCTTAAAGGATTAGTGGGTAAAGAGACAGGTTTAGAAGACTTTCAGTGTGCTTTTGATTGTCAAAGCAGGTTCCTTGTATGTCCTAAATGTCTGTTTTGTTGTGAGCTTTGAACATGCCTGTGAGCACATTATTTTTCTTCGCTGTCTGATAGAAATGTGTCCCTTCAGTTTACGCTTGCTACGCCATCACCCTTGTGATTGTGTAGGTCTGTAGCAAGCTGTCCTGGTTTCAGCTGGGATAGAGTTAACTGTCTTCCTAGTAGCTGGTACAGTGCTATGTTTTGAGTTCAGTATGCGAAGAATGTTGATAACACTGATGTTTTCAGTTCTTGCTCAGTAGTGTTTAGACTAAAGTCAAGGATTTTTCAGCTTCTCATGCCCAGCCAGCGAGAAGACTGGAGGGGCACAAGAAGTTGGCACAGGACACAGCCAGGGCCCCTGACCCAAACTGGCCAGCAGTGTATTCCATACCATGCGACATCCTATCTAGTATAGGGACTGGGAAGTGTGGGGGGGGGGATCGGTGCTCGGGGACTAGCTGGGTGTTGATCGGCGGGTGGTGAGCAATTGTCCTGCGCATCATTTGTACATTCCAATCCTTTTATTACTACTGTTGTAATTTTATTAGTGTTATCATTATTAGTTTCTTCTTTTCTGTTCTATTAAACCGTTCTTATCTCAACCCACGAGTTTTACTTTTTTTCCTGATTTTCTCCCCCATCCCACTGGATGGGGGGGGAGTGAGTGAGTGGCTGCGTGGTGCTTAGTTGCTGGCTGGGGTTAAACCACGACATGAGCCAAGTTGCTGATTAAAAATGCATGGTGTAAATTTGGTAATGGCAACCTTGACGCTTGGTGGAATAATGAAATGAACATATTTTGAGTGTTTCTCTACCTTTTCTGCACAAAACAAGATGATACTGAAAGCAGCTTATTAATGGATGCACTGAAATGTAATTGTGGTAACTTCAGCTTTAAGCTTTCCTCCCTGCCCCAAATCAAAGCTTCCTGTTCTCTCCCTTGTAGGGAAATTTCATGAAGAATATATCTATGCACCTCCAGGTAAGTAAAACTTTAGTCTTTAGTGATAGAACACTTGGTGAATGTAATGCTGTCATTATGACGTTTTTGTAAGTTTCTGAAGGATGAGATGTAATGCTACTCTTTTCAAATAATTTTGCCTATGTCCTCCAGATCCTGACTGTGAAACTGCAACAGTATTTAGTTCAGCAGAACCTACAGCAAACTTGGTAAGCTTCAGTCACTGTCTGTTCAGATTAGGAATCCTTGAAGTGTGTGGCATTCTTCATAGAAACTGTCCTTGGATGCAGGCTTAACACAGTAGGTCAGAGACTTCTTTTGGAAGAAAGGGATGATGGTTTCATTTATATATTCACCCCCCTTTTCCTCCTTAAATGGTGAGGTTTTTGTCTGAGTCTGCAAGTACAGTATGAATTGTACTAGATACATAAATGATTTTCCACCTTCCCTTCTGCAAAGAGAAAGCATGTACTTGAGTGCTGTTTACTTTTCTTCTTTTTCTGCTCCAGACAGCGCTTGCTTTTATCATGCTACCCTTCAAGTCCTATTCCAGTTAGTGTCATTCCTCCACTGTGGGACTGGAGAGATCTTGCCTCTGATTTTTTTTTTTTTTTTTAAACCTGAAACTAAATCTGTAGTCACCTACTGGCCTACAGTAGAGCTGAAAGCCAGCCCTGTTGCATGTCAGAATAAAACTGCTTTTACTTGAGTTACAAAAGGTCCTCTGTGTGTGTATAATCAGTAAATAAATTTAAAAAATTTAGGGGTGTGGTGTGTGTATGCCTTGTGACTTCTTTGCTTCTTAAATGGACCATGCTTTGCTTTGGAATCCATTTAGGAAGAAGGGCCGGTCTCTGTGTCACCTCGAGATGGAGTGGCTTCCTACAGCTGTCCCCAGAAGGTAGTATCTAGTATTTTATTGTGGTAGCCCTTTGGAGAGGTGACCATTCCGCTTGGTTAGTGCCGGTTTGTGGGGTCCCTCTACCTGCCTCTTATACCATCTTATAGCAAAGAATACAATTCCCTATAAATAAGCAAAACAGGAGGGTAGGAAGGTGCCTTGCAGGTGTCTGCAACTCTAAACTGGTATTTTCAAGCCAATTTTTAGGTAACTGGGATAGTTACCTTTACAGCTAGGACTTCCAAAATGCATTTATGTGAAGTGAGAATTTTTGAACTGTGTGATATTTCCGTAGTCTTTGTGAAAGCCAGTTGTAGAGGCAGCCTGCTGAATACTCTGACTCTTTTCTAGGTGATGGTGAACTCTACGGCTATCTCAACCTCAGCAGGTGTTTATGCTGCTCCAGCTACAGGCTTCTCCTCAAACCCTGCTGCCTCCAGTCCAGCCAGTGTCACAACAGCAGTTCCCCCACAAACAGCAGTTCAGCCAGTCATAGTATCTCCCCTTTCTATAGGGAGGCCAGGTAGAGTGTACATACTATGGCTGTCAACTTGGATGTCTTACATTTTCAGTTACATCTTTTTCTCCACCGCCCCCCCGCCTTTCCTCCCCCACCTATCCAAGACAAATGTTAAAAGGCTTTGAAAAAAAAAAAAAAAATCACTTGCTTTGTCTGAAAATGACTTAGTAGTTCTAACTTCACTGCTGACTTCTTGCTTTTATGTTTTGGAGGCGACAGTTGCCCCTGAATTTGCATGGGAATTAGAGGTCTCTGCTTTGGGTTCCCCCCTTGCCACCTTTAGCCATCAATGCCAGCTGTTTTGCTAGGAAGTTCTTTTTCAGAAGGCAAAAGTTCATGGCAGCTCCCTTTCCCCCGTTTCCTACAGTTAACTTTCCTCTTGAGTTGAGATATTGGTCCTGAGGCTTTACTATCCTTTCCAAAAGCGTCACTGCCTGGAATAGTTCAGGATCCACACAAATGTCCAATTCAATTTTGTGCCCCTTAGTTAGCACCTGTGCTTAGTTACTTCTATGCAAGGAGATCAAATTTGTGGTTTGTCACATGGTGCACTTGTCACCTGAAATGCTGTATCTATGTCGTTCTTGTGAAATGTCTGTTAAGAAAAAATGATTTTTCCCTTCTTAGAAAAAGGACTTTTTATGTCTTCTGTAACTCTTCATTTAGCATCCAAAAAACCCTCCACCTTCACTTCTGCCTAACTCCGTCTCCCTTTTTCTTTTCCGTTTTTCTCCTTGGCTTGTTTCTTTCTGCTTTGCATGAGAGTTTAGTCAGCACAGTTTCTAAGCTGTCTGCTTGCTGATGCCATTACAAATAACCTACTGGTGTGTTAGAGGTGTGGACCACTTATGAATATTTAACAGTAGTCTGTCCAAAATATTTGTGGCCTGACATGTCTTGAACCTTCCCGTGTTTTTGTGGGCTTATTGTCATGCTTCTGATGACTTAAAGTGATTAGTCTGTTCCCTGTTGTTCCAAGACAGACAGTTACGTAAGGAAAGTCTGGCCTGCCTTCTAGTATGGAGAAATGATTGAAAAAGACATTTATTCTTAACTGGAATATAAAGCTTGCAGATAGCCATACCGTTAAGGCTTGTGAGACTGAAAACTTCCCATCTAGTTTTAAAATTTCTTCTGGACTTCTTTTGAAGTGATTACTAAAGAGAAATGTGTTAAAGCTTGCATTTAGGGGCACTGAGATGACAAAGGAGTACATGGTTAATTCTGTGACTTAGCATCTTGCTCATTTGACATGCCATTGCAAATTTGACTTGACTTTTGTTTCCTTCTAATTGTAGCAGTTTCTTCGATGCCATTCCCAGTTTATTCAGCTCCTCTTCCTCCAGTCAGTGAGATGGGAGAGGCTGGTGCCATTCTTCCACCTTACTCTTGTGATCCCAGTGGCAGTGATCTACCTCGAGGTAATGATGGTATTTTATGCTTTTACTACTGCTGCTCTTCAGCACACTTCTGACTTGTGTTCTCCATGGAAACTTAACAGAATACCTCTAGTGAGAAGAAATGGCTCTTTGCAGCTCGCAGGGAGTGCGAAATAATATGGATGCTTATGCTAAAAATGTTTTAATTCCCAGTTCTGAATAGCAAGTTCATATTGGACTCAAATATGTGATGGCTGCAGCTTTAGACAACAACTGTGTATTTATACAGTCGTGCTGTTGCACAGTTCAGTGGGATATTGTGGTGTTTTCCTGTAGGGCTCCAAGATCTCATTTTGTGGCATCAAAAAGCAGGGATACAGTGTATTGTTCCTTGGGTGCCTAGCCTTTTTTGTATACGGGCATCAATTATGACAGTGTTTGTGGTATGTTTCAGCTATTAAGCAACAAGTGTGCAAAGACCAACATAGTACCAACCAGCAAAGCAGCTCAGAAACAGCTTTCAGCTTTGTCAGCTGAATGTGGACTTCATTTTGAAAGTGGTAATTGTCGGTCAACTTGCTCTTAAAACTTAAGAATATCAGCATACCATGCAAGGTTGCATCAGACAGCCAAGCTTGGTAGGCAGTGCAACAGGCATATACATATTTGATTTTTTTTTTGTTATTAATTTATTCCCTTATTCTGCCATGTTTATGGCTGACAAGGCATAAACAGACCCTGTTATTCACAGAGCTGGTTTGTTTTTTTTTAATAACCCAAAGATCAAGCTGTCTGCTGTCCTTATTGCAAGTTAAGTGCCTCTCAGCTACAGGAATAACAGTACTGCTTGCTATTATGCTATGTGACTTGTTTTTCTCTAGGTGGAGAATGCTGTGAGGCCCAAGCGTGCCACCATTGCATCGCTGCACACATCTCGAGAGGCAGATAAAACTGTTGTGTGCCACAGTGTCTTGTCTTAACTGATAAGGATTGTTGGCTGTGTGTTGGTTGTGTCCCTCCTCTGGCAGGGAGCATGGGGGGAAGCTATTTTTGTCAGTAGTGTGGTCAAGCTAGAGGTAAGCTGTAGCCTACTCTGAAGAGCAGCAGTGCAAAACTGGCTGTCTGTTAACATTTTTGCTGTTGAAGTAGTAGGTATATCTCTGCACATTGGTTGAAATACATAAACTTTTAAAATATCCCCCCCCCCCCATACACTGGGTATGTTGAAAGTCTGTGTATCATAGCTGGCTTATTCTAACAGCCATCTATAGATACAGGAGATGACATGGTTATATCAGACTTAACTACTTTTAGTTCAAGTTCCTGAATCTCCCATGTTCTCTGTTGGTGTAGAGAGTAGTTTTTCATTCATGGGTGAGTGGGGGAATGAACTGGCTGCATATATGTAGGGTCTGTGAAATCCAAGTGTTCCTTTTTACACTCTTTTGAAAAGTGTAGTTTTGCTATAACTGCCTGACTTGCTTTCCTCCCCACCTCCCCCCAAAAAAACCCCAAACATCCCTGTAACTGACTGCATTTTAGGTATATGGCAGTTGCAGCTTTTATTGCATCAGACTGTAAAGCTTTTGGCTTTTATTCCAAAATCTGTTACTTGAAGATGGAGCATAAAGTGTTTTAGTAATGCAAAATGTTTTCATGCTTCATTTGACGTATTGCCATCTAAAGTAGCTCTGTTGTCCCTCTGTGGGCCTTTCCTCAATGTACTAATCCTAGAGGGCTACTTTTGGGTAAGGTAGAGCTGCTCTTGGTATCTACAGTTCAGGTAGCTACATCTGTTAGGTTGCAGAAGAACTTTGGGCTGAAATGGTATGGAGTCTTTTAGCTGCATTTACCATGTAACATGCTTGTCTTGTCAGAAGTCGATCTGGAGAAAGGCAGGTTCCAAAACACTATGGCCGTGTGCTGCTTTCACAGGTACTGCTAATGTGGTCTGTAGTAACTCTGCTCTCTTGCAGGTGCTCTCAATTCATGGTTTTGTTAATCTTGAATACTCTGTTTACACTTCCCTGCTGCATTAGTATTGCTCTAGATGATACTATGCGCACATCAGTGTTAATGGTTTTCAGCTTTAGTTGAATGCCCTTAACTGAGGCTCTCAGCACTTAGGAGGGTTGGGTGTTAAGTGTACTGACAAGAATCTGGAGTGGATGTGGATTAATAACCTCTTCAGACCCTGCCTGTAGCTCTTCAGCTGAGTCACTCCACATAATACTGGCCATATTCTTCTTGGCATAGACTCTAGAAATTTTGTTAAGGATTTTCAGGTTGGTAGTTAACAAGGAATTGCATGTAGCATTTATGTTGACACACTGCTTGGTGTAGTATAATCTCTATGGCCTTTAAGTTAAGAAATCCAGAAGCTTTGGAGTAGTGTGGGGTAAAGTATGTGGGTACACTTGACCTAGAGTTCTGTGCACTTAGCTGGAGATGGCATGGTATAGGTGGGGGGTATGACTTGTCAACAGGCTGAAGTCCTGGACTTGGGAGGAAACCCTGCCCTGTGCCTTAGTGTTACTTGGTACATCTGCATTTGTTCCAGTTTTCACAGTCTCTGAGATCTTTTTTTTAATGGATCTTAGGGCTTGTGAAACATGTTTATTAACTTGGTGACCTTAGGTGTCCTACCCTTGCCTGCTCCCTTGTACTTGAAGGAGCTGTTGATAAAAGACCGCTTGATATTACTGTGTTCCAGAGACTGCAGTAGTGCTCAGGGTTGACCAGAGCTTCCCATCAGCACAGTAAAAATTCTATCATGATTTTTGTCCTGATGCATTGTGAGATGAGATTTTTATAAGTAGTCAACATGGTCTTTATGTTTTCATGTTGGGGTAGTTCACTTTTTTGGCTTAGCTATTGCTTCATAAGGTAGTCATGTTTTAGCGAAGATTGACTTGATTTCTAGACATCTAAAAGAGGAATATAAACAAAAACTGGTCTCCTACTGTACTGGCTTCTGTTCCAGCATTCCACAGACGTCAGTATTTCCAGTATCAGTTTGTCACTTCAGTCTCCCAGCTCTCCTTTGTACTGTTATCATTGCTGCTATGAAGCAGCTGTTTCATTCGGCTCTTATGCTTGTTTTGCATAGATTTGCATAAACAATTGAAGAATGAGATCAGATTTTTTTTAAAAAAACCAAAACCCACAACAACTTGTTCCAAACATGGATGCAGTTTCAGCTAGATACTAAGAAGTTGGCATTTGTGTTAGCCTTTGGGTTATTTTTAATATTTTACTGACTGGTCAGCATCATAGCCAATCACCAGCACTTTCAGGAGTAAGCTTACAGCTGTTAGATGTAAGGAAGGATCTGTGTGCACTTCCTAAAATAGCTGCATGGATTGTTGCCCTGATCAGATATGCTGCTGAACAGTAGAAGAGTTGAGAACTGGCAGCAGCCACAGAGGAGCAAATCCTCGTGCATTTCAAGACTGGCCATTTGCATTTCTGTTGCTGTGCCTATCTGAAGCAAAATATGATGCGTAGAAGAGCAGCTGGGAAAGTGTGCATGCATAGTAGATGGGTGGACAGGGGAGCAATGTGGAGCCAAGGCCCTGGTCTAGAGGGAAGTGGGTAGGTGGTAAGAAGATGGTATATATGGTAACTCTGAAGGTGTTGCTAAGTTGAAGCCCTTAGTGGCTTGCTCCTTTTGAGTTGTCTCCCTGCTTTCCCTTTCAGTTCCCAGCAGTACTAAAGCAAAGTCTGCGCGTGTGCATGCATGTGCAAACCTACTGCTGTGGAATAGGTGACTTGCTCTCCCTGAGCATTTAAAACAAATCTGTATTTGAATCTGAGTATTTGAATCTGAGAAATCAACAATGTCTCTTGTGCACAGTTCCAGAACTGTGTCACAGGGTTAAAATGTGCTCTCTTTTTTTCTTTTCAATGGTCAACTTTAAAGGTTTAAAACTGCTTCACTGTTTTTGGACAGTTGGAAATGTATTTCCAAGTTCAAAACCCTGTTGTTCTTGGATAGTGGTTTCAAGGTTCGTCCATACATCTGGGATTGCTTCTCAGCATGTCATGTATTTGCCTGGGGGCAAATTATTCAGTTCATGGAAGGCAGAAGTAAAAGACTGCTTGCAAGAAAGCAGGGAACTGAGTACCCTTGTGAGGAAGGGGAAGGAGGGAATATATTCCTTATTCCTCCCCCTCCTCCATTTTCTGACTTGATAGGACAACTGGGGGGACCCCAGAACTAGGTCAGAAGGTCTTAGGATTGCTGCATATGACACATCTCTGTGGTCATTGTTCAGCAAAGCTCTGAAGATGGAGATAGTGGCAGAGCCAGACTTCACACTGGCCAGAAACCGTGTGAAGCTGGAGCCTCCATGGAGTTGGCCTGTTGCCTCGCATGCCAGCCCCGTATGGGTATTTGCAATATGTATGCAGAGTGTGTATCTAATGCGTATACATTGGGGGTGGATTGTCACTCGTGTATGAGAAGGCTGCTCCTGCCTGTCTGTGTGCTCCCAAACCCTTTCTCATTTCTGTAGTGAGGAAAGGAGGGAGTACTTGTAGTGGTCAACTTGATTTAGGGGCTCATAATCAAATTCTTATTTGATAAAATACTTTTTCCTCTAAAAATGCAGCCTTAATAGGAAGCCAGAGTTGCTTAAGTCCTCGTTGCTTTGACAGGGGAGACTTGTAACAACACTGACAATTATCACTTGAGTAATCAAGATGAATAAACGTTAAATTAAAGCTAATGTAATCATTGAAGTTTGATAGTAAGTTGGTCAGACAAATGCTCTACTATTGCACAAATAGCTAACTGGATTAACTGAAAAAGATAAAGTAGGTTTAACAACTATTTATATTCAAGATGTATTCTTTACCCTTGCAACTTTAAAGAAAAGTAGTGCTAAAATTCATTCATTCACTTATTCACTGAGTAAGAGTAACTTAAAATAAAATGCTCTTAATGTGTGTAAATTTCTTTTGCTTCTTGGTTTATGCTCTTCTGCTCTTTAATGTCATAACCTTTCCTTTCAGATACGAAGGTCTTGCGGTATTATTTTAATCTGGGATTGCAAGTAAGTGCTTTTAAAATGAGTATAAAAAATTGCCTCTCAAAACTGTTTTTCTTGACAAATGTACTGATGTATTTAAGACTTCCAAGCGTGCTAAATGTACATCCTGTGCACTTGACTATTAATACATATAGGCTTGCTTGGTGGAGATTAACGGCTTGGGAAGTGAAGCACATTAGTATGTGTGTTTAGTTGTTTTACTTTGGGTTGTGGTGGTGGGTTTTTTTTGTTTTTGTGGAGAATGGTGGATAAATACTGTTTTTTCCCTCAAGATAAGGGAGGAACCCAAGCCATTCTTAAGAAAAGGTGTGTACCTAGACAAGACATCAAAGACCATTTAGACGTGTGTGGTTTGAGTCTTCTAGGACTTGTACAACAGTGTTCAGACTGGTTAGCGCTATTTCTCCATGTTCTGTGACCTCTTGCTCTGCTGAAGAGTTGTCTCTGCACCAGCAGTCATATGCAGTGTCAGTGCTGCTGCTGCTCAGGGCAGTAAAAGAAGTAATGTCAGCTTCTTCAATTGAAGAAATAAGAAAAATGTCTTTGAATATGACAAAGTTGATAGGTGGGAATCTTTCTCTGTGAAGATTTCTGACACAACAGCAATGTGGAACTGAGGTGGCTATTGCTGCAGGTATTGCAGTATGTTTTCTGGTAGGCAGTATTGGGTTGCTTTGGTATGTGTAGTATCTTAAGGGGCTAGGAAGGAAAAAATGCACTTCTTGGGAGCTTTAGATCTGAAACTAGCAGTGATTTGGAGGAGGGATGGAGAGTATGTGGTTGTATGCATGACCTTGTGGGTTGTTTTTTTTTTCCTTTTCTCCAAGTATTATCATCAGAGCTATTGGCCTTCCATGGTGTATGTACAGCCAGCGCTGCCACCATCGCCTGTGGAAGTTTATCCAGCATATGCTGAGCCAGCTCCTGTCCTAGATCAGTCAGTACCTCAGGTCTACACTGATGCTGGGCGAACTGAAATCCACCACGTTCCCTTGGAAGCACCTGCAAATGGTTAGTATTTAAGTGTTATACCACAGACACAACTAATGAGAAGTGAGGGAACAGGTTTTCAGAGCATGACTGCTCCATAGGAGCTGCTTGCCTGCAGCTTTGCTTTCCTGTAGGAAGCGTGAGGTTGGGAGGACATAGAGTACACCTTGTAAGGGGTTAACACAAATTCCTCTGCCATCTGTGGTACTACTTGAAGTATGGCGGAGTCACTGGTGTAGCCACCAATGTGTAAAGGGCTTTCTAAAGCCATAAAAGGGAAGTAGTAATCCTTTCTAGACCTGTACTAGGTACGCTACCTTTAACTTAGGGGAACTCTGTCTAAAACTGTGAAGGAATCTCTTTGCTTACTGATAAGCAAATAGTGATGGTATCAAAACAGAATGCCTGTATTTAAAGGAGGGAGTTGAGTTTTGGCAAGCACTGAGCACTGGTACTTCAGCTCCAGGGCAATTTTTAAAAGGAAGATGTTGCAAGCCTTGTTTTTAGGCTCAGCGTGCTGAGCTGTTACCTCTTGTGTAGCCATTATTGCTAGCTGTGTCTCTTACTGTGCATAAGATTTACAGCAAGACTTAGTTTCACCGGGTGGCTTTGTAGCAAGCTTGTAGATCCGCTTGGCAGGAAACAGGATGATTGTATTAAATGAGGAAAAAGATGTCAAAAAGGTCAGATGCCTAGCTCATTAAAATCTATGGAACATGGCAAACTGTTGGAAAGGAGTGCATCATAACAAAACTGTTGCTCAGAGGCATACAGGCTTATTGCTCTGCTAATGCTTCCGCCTGCTCAGCTAGGGTGGTTCTTTTGCATAGATTAGTGTCATATGGTCAGAGATCAAACAGGGAAAAAATATATTAGCTCTCTATCTGAGTTTGTCTTGAAAGCTGACGCTCCAAAGCAGAAGGCAGCTAAGCAATTCTTGGAACAGGGTTTAGTGAGAAGATGAGCAAGTTTGTCCTCTAGTTGTAACTTGGAACCCAAAATGATTTTGACCCCTCCATTAGAAGGGACATACATGGGCATAAAATTGTCATCTAAATGGCTTTTCCGTTTTGGCCACCACAGTAATGCTGTGTTCATGGTAATGCAAGTCTGCATAAAAAAGGCCATAGATATGGTAAAATATGGTGTGTGTGTGTATTTTGTTCTGTTCTTTTAAGGTAACTTTCAAAATGCAGAGCCTCCACCCCTGTCCTACGGGCCAGTATATTACCCAGTCGTGTCGGACCCCTTCAGCCAGCAATCTCTTCCTGGGTTTGATTCTTTAGTACCTGCCTATCGCTATATTAGTGCCTGGCATCCAGTAAATGCACCGTATGGAAATTCTCCACAAATTGCTAATGCTGTAAGTTCTGGACCGCTGCACCAGGTCAGCTATATTGCCTCACCTAACCCTGCACCTCATGATGTGCCTCAAGGAATGTAAATCTGGGAGCTATAAGCTCACTTCTTGCCCTTGGTTTCTCTTGTATCTTGTTTGTCAACTCTGTGTGTTAATACTGTTTTGTAAACGCTACCCTGTCTTGGTGGGCTGGTTCAGTTGATTAAACTGCATTCAAATTTCATGTTTCTCTTTAGGTTTATGCTAGTGATTGTTGACTTGACAAGATGTTGTTTTAGTCGATTACATAGGAAAGCATAGGAAAAGAGTATACATACACAAACTGTAGTGCAGGGAACACAAAGCTTGGTTTTGACTACATAAAATATGTGTAAAAACCATATGCTATCACTAAAGGAATGTTGCATCATGTACCTCTGTGAGGGGTTGCACTGGAACACTGAGACACCTGGTTCTTGTTTAAGCACTGAAATAGGCTGCCATTACAACTACAGGTAGAAATTGGGCACAGGGTTGTTAGAGGATGAAAGTGTTTGAAATAGGTTGGCTTTCTCAGATTTTTCAAAACAAAGCTTCTTTGCCACTAGCGGTCACATATTTGTAATAGCTGTATTTCTTCTGTCTAATTTCATTCTGCGTAGGTTTTGTGACTCTTGAAAGTGTAAGACTACTGTTTTGGTCTGTTGTATATTGCTGTATGTTTGTAATTTGTTTTGTGAAAGCTGTTGCACAAGTGGTGGTAGTCTTGGTGTTTAATTTGCACTGACAGCACAAAATAAAAGCATTGAACACATGAAAACGAGTGGTCATTTATCACTGGCAGGTTACGTTTCTGATGGTTGGACATCTGACAGCCTGGGCCAAAGAAATGTCGTTGTCTTGTGTGGGGTAAGGCTTCTTCAGCCTTCTATGAGAAAGTAGCAAAAGCTTTCAGCGTGAGAAGGAGGCGCAGTGGAAAACTCTAGCTGTGTTTTTGTTGGTAAGTTTAGGAAGAAAACATTTAGTCTGTGCATGTGAACTGCAGTTCTTTCAAATGACTGTCTGCAAAGGCTCTGTCCTTGATAGAAACTTGCTCTGTACGTGCAAAATCCACAAGGACCGGGTGCGAGTTGGGCTCTGCCTGCAGTCCTGGGGGCATCATGGTGGCATAGCTCTGTCCTGGGCTAACAGAGAAGGGCACCAGTGTGGGTTATGCCGGCTCAGTGCCAGAGGCACTGAAAGGAGCAAAGACCCTTATTTAACAAATCTTCTTGACTTTCACATGACTTCAGCATTTGGGTGTCTGAGCTGGATTTTGAAAGCTATGCCTGACAGATCTTGTAGGGAATTTTGAGTCCTCCAAATTCAAACATAGCCTGTTTTAGATAAAGAGGTTAAGTTGGTAGCTTCAGATGGTGGCACAATTGCCATATGCCAAAGTTGAAATCAACTCTATGGGCCCATACTACTGTTTAGTGATTTCTTCTTTTTTTTTTTTCTTTGTGTGTGTGTGGTGGTGAAAAGGTGATTGACTGCAGAATTGGGAGGGGGGAAAAAGTAGGTTTCCTTCAGTATCCCTTGTAAGTAATCATGTAAGCAGAAACATAGGAAAAAATGACTCCTTACAATTTTATCTTAAATTCATGCAGCACTTCTGGTGTTGATCCTATTTCCTTAAAACTCTTGAGACCTTTTTTTTTCCTTTCATAAGAGAAGGTGGTAATATAATCCTCTGTCAGGAGGGTTGCAGGCTTGGCTTTTGGTTTGTCTCCTCAAATCTCTAATTGCTGTACGTTTAACTTGGCAATTTAATAATGGCTTTTCAAGATGGAGGAGCCAGGTAGAAAGTCAAAGCATGATGAAAATGACACCCAAATAGCAAATTTGATTATGAGCTGCTGTGCTGTTTAAAAAACCAAACAAACAAAACCAAACCCAAACAGAACAAAGTAATTGGTGGCAGTTAGGACTTTGGCCGTTGTATTTCTGCCTCCAGAGGAGCACTTGACTTGCCCAGACATTTCTCAGAAAAGGGAGAAGTTCCTACTGGATTTTTTTTCTCCTTTCTCTGAAAAAGCATTTACTAGACTAACCTCTTAAAGGGACCAGTAAAGCATGTGACTTATTTTATGAACTTTAAAGTAGAACAGATTCAAGAAGTACAGTTTCCATGGTGGAGTCATGAAGTGTGTTTCCGCATCAGTCACGAGTGCCATCTGTCATATCCCAAACAGCTGCTGTCAAGCACCGAAGTCAGTATCTTCTACTTTCAGGCTTTAGCTATGAATAATGCCTCCTTTCTTCTGCTGTCACTGAGACAGCCTTGCTTTTTTCTATACAAATGGTTATTCTAGCTAAGTGTTGGTCTCGTCTCTTCTGGTATTAGTTTGTATCCTGAAGTCAACTTTTTTTTAATTGGAAACACTGACTGATAATTCTGGTATGGAGTCAAGTTTTTTGCATGTTTTTGCTTACCCTTCTAGTAGCTGGATTATTCAGCATTAGCTATGGCTATCATGGCCGTGTTGGCCACTTTGATATACAGGAAAATTGCATTAATTGATATAATAATGTATGTAATATGTGGCCAATTAACTTATTTATGGATTTGATACACACAGGTACCTCTGTGAATTGATAGATGTATTTTTGCCAGGGCTGTTTAGGCTCAAAATTAACTTTTTGAACTAGCAAGCAGGGGCTGTGGGGAACAGTTAGCAGCATGTCCTGGAGCTGGTTGATGCACGCTCTCCCTAGGTCAGGGAGTGCTACTTTCTTACTAACAGCAAAAGAGCTTAGAATTGTACAGAAATTTAAGTGAATGCTGGAGTCTTTTCTTTTGAATTCTGCTTTCCTGAGTTGTGTTGCACTACAATAGCTCTACATCACTTACTAAAGCAGCTGCTAAAAAAGCCACAGCTCTACCTAAAACAGCTAACCTGCTTCATACGTCAGCCATTTCCTCATCTAGAAATTACTATGTCTGGCTGCAGCATCCCTGTACTGATAATATTCCTAGTTTTGTGGTTAAGTGTTCTGGTGGCTAATTGCTACAAAACAGTTGCCTCTTGAAAGGCTATAAGATAATTCACATCAAAATTACACAGAATTCTGGGGGTTTGAGAGGGGTTATTTTGGGGGGGAGGGCGGTGTATGCGTGGTCTGCGGGTGCCAAGATGTGGGCTCATGGTCTTTTTTTTGTGGGGAACCCAGCGTCAGCCTGGTGATCATCCAGACTTGTTTACTTTGGCACACGGTTTGATTATTGCTCTGTTACAATTTGGTACCACCCTAATGCTCTGGGTTTTTCATGCCCAGCAGAATTGTCATGAATGGGGGTAGTGGGATATAGCTTGCAGCTATAAGCATATTTTATCTTTAAATAGAAGCACAAAAAAATCCATGAGTATTGATTTCTATTGGGAACAATTATTTTCCTTCAGACTTTTTTTTTCTTTCTTGGGCTTCTTGAGGTATGTTGCATAATAAGTTTTAAAGCAAGGATTTGATCCTGAAATGTGTTTTTCACTTTTCTTTATTTTTTGTGGATGGGTTTTCAGCCTTTGAAAGGGAGAACAGAAGAGTCGTGCAGCCAAGTCTGTGCTAGTCATGCTCGCCGCCTTCTTTTCCACACCATGTTTTTATATATGAAAGGCAGGGGCTCAAATTAAATTAACACCTGAAGGATGTGCAGGAAGGATCCATGAGCTGGCAGTGCCACAGTGTGCTCTCTTCAGATGTGAGCACTTCTGATTTCGTAGCCCTTATAAACAGCCTCAGAGACGAGCCTTTTCTGAAGCCGCAGGATGAAAGAAGCAGTGATCAACCACAGTTCTTGTGCTTTGGGGTGTGAGCTTCTTGTCTTTTTGTCACTCTTCTAAACTGCTGCAAATCTTTCTGCCCTTAGAAGGAGCAGGCTTCGGTCTGGCCGCGTTTGCCTGCAGGTCTCCAGATGCCAGAGCGTACTTCTGTTCTCTGAGCACCGCTTGCTACACGGTAAAGTAAAAGCATGGTATTTTGGCAGAGGTGCTTGGGTCTTGCACCAAAGGAGGTGCCAAGCCTGTGCCCTGTTGCAGTCAGGCTGCGAGCGCTGCCCTCCTGGTGCGTACCCCACTCCTCCTCTGTCCCATGCCGCACAGCCTGCCCCCGCAGCCGGGGTATCGCTGGTCCTGCTTTAGTCTCTGTGTGTTAACACCCGTTACGTTACTGCTGTTTGCCAGAGGGATGAGTGTTTTTCTGAAGTCTTTTGAATTGTAAAATCCATCTGTTATTGAAGATAATTATTATAAATACTGTAGAGAAAAACCACGCCGATTCTGCCTGCCAGCAGCGTTAGCCTGCTGGGCTATCACCGGCTGTTGCTCCTGTGCTCTGTTTTCCCCTTGGTCACATAAGAACACCAAACTGATTCTTACAGCAAGTTGTTTTTCTAGCTCAGTTGTTTTGTTTTACTCTTAGCTTCCAGTGTTCCCTCTGCAGTGCTGCTGGATACCTTTCTCTTTTATAAAATTACACCATAGAAGACTGCATTATGTATGGAAGATATTCAACATACAAATCCAGACCCAGACTTCCAAGTAACTGCTTTTTTCATAAGGGAGGAAGATAAAGCTCTTGAAGCAGGGCTTTATAGCTTTGAAATAAGATCAGAGTTTAGATTTTGCAGGGTAGGCCTGTATCTAGAAACTCCTACACATGATCAAGTCACTGCTGCTTACCAGATTTCACAGTCAGCTCAGTTGCGGCAAGTATGAAATAGTTCAGCCAGTATGAGCCATAGGCTGAGAGCATGTACACAGGCAGCTACTGCAATTTAGTCATCTCCGCCAGTGTGGTGATCTGCAGGAACAGGAACGTGTGCCTGAGTCCTGACAGGGAGTTTTTATGTGTTGGGTTCAGTTTACGGTAGCGCTTTTATTCCAGATGCTAAATCTTGCCTTCCCTGCAACAGGTGAACATTTTGCCGCTAGCTTCGGGGTGCTGGGGTTTACCCCAAGATAAATGTCATTCTGTTCTTATAGCTGTGATGACTGCTCAACTTCGTTGTGTGAGAGAAAATGTTTTTTTTAAGAGAAAGTGAAATATCCTCTAATGATGAAATTAATGGACCATCTAACTCCCTC